CTCCAGCCTATAGGCAGTCAAGTAATGCACGCGTGGTTTATAAAATGACATCTTGATTATCTCCATTTGTCTTGAATTGTCTGAACGCTTAATCTGTAAACGGACGAAGCGCTGCATATGGCGCAGGAAGAAGGCCTGCACGCTCTATACTGAGTTTAATTATGGGTTTTAATTACTTTTAAACCTCTAGTGAAAATAATACATAGCCTATCGTTAACCTTGATTTCTAGGCTCGTGGACGAAAAAAAATCGATTGGTACAGAAATCATTTATGGCTCAACAACAGCATGTTTTCTTTGCTGTCTTTGATTGACGAATAGAATCTGTTTACCTTTTTAATTTAGTTTAATTTCATTAGAAAAGCGATTTGGCCTACAGGCCTATAGGCCTACATTTCCAAAAGCAACCATTAAATGACCTTGAAAAATAAGTTCACGGAACTAGGAATACAAGGATGAAACATTGATTTGGATGTACATGTACTATCTCTAAAAATGAACATCTCTTATGAAGTGAAGATGAAATATTATGACAAGAGCTGGATAATGTGAAATGCGCGTCTGTCGAAATCCGCTTCAGTTTCCATCAACTCATACTGGAATAGAAGCGTATTATTCATACACTGTTTAAAATAAAGGCCCTTGGTCCTCTTAAATTGAGCAAATAACAATGAAGAACATGTTTGCTGTATACGGTTCTTGAGTTGGCTTTAAAACGTTCTTGATGTTGCATTATATGTTCTTCAGAACAGTTTTTTTTAACAGTTGAGTTCTTTACAAAAGATCTTCTAGACCTAGCGGATAAAAAGCTCTTATAGGACTTTAAATGATTCTTCCACGGAATTTTGCTTGCATCTTTTCTACGCCAAATAAAATTTGTATTTTGTGAATTGTTAACGTCACTTTGAAATTTTAATTTATATGAAATATTGCTTAAACTACGATTAAAAAGCTCGCGGCCTGTATCTTAATTACTGAGAACCATTAACAATCCATATTTTATTGTAAAAATAAAGTGTAGTCAGATGTAGGATAACGATTTCCGTGTCTGAAAATAGAACTGTAACGTTTTAGAAGATATTTTGTCTCGGATAATAAGTGTTCTAATGAATCGAAATGTGAAATGGCAAATACTGAGTGAAAAAAAAAAGAAATGAATGTCTGCTTAGTGAATATGTGATTTTATTGACAAGCTAAAATTATTTACACACGTATAAACACAATACAAACGTACATGCTCAATATTTTCAGTAAGGACACATGACAAGTGTCATTTTGAGGACCAACTGCTGTCGTCCTGAACGTTCAGAAATTCAAGATATCAGTGCGTTCGGTTTAATTTGGTTGTCACTGTAGGCCTCACAACTTTTCTATCCATATTATTCTTCATCTTCTCCTGAAGACATCGTGTCCCCACACAGGTTTGCACATGAGACTACTGTATGTGGCATTTCTAGATTTTAAAAGCATTCTCTAAATAGACAGTAAATGACAAAAAGACGTTTCATCAGACCTCAAGGTATTTGTTAGAGTTTTAAACTATCCATAATAACACTTCACAATATTCAATGATACGCTCTTTTGCGCAACACAAAATTATGGAAGAACGCAATGAAATATTAAAGATCGGTTTGGCCGCATTGACGCGTCGGTTCGCCTCCGCACACGCGCGCTCTCGCAAAAACCGAAGGAAAGAAAAAGAAGAACTGTCGTGCATCACAAAGCACGGACTATATGCGTTGCGTTGTTCTGTTATAAAAACAATCATCGATGATATTTGCCATCTCTCTTGGCATTCACCGCGTGCCTTAATTGTATGGACATTTAAATCAAGGTCCGCTGTGAACACGAAGAAAAGCAGGCCTGTTTGCAACCACAATGTTCAGAATCGCACAACTAAGCCACAGCAAAGATGTTGCACCAAAATATCTACGTCCTCCTCCGACTGGTGTATCATCAGCATCCAACATTGCACAGAGCATCATGCATCCTTAAAGCATCTGTACGTCACATAATAATTCAAACAAGCGTTCCCATTTATTACATTACCTATTTTTTCGAATGTGATATTTCCACAGGACGGTGCGCTGCTTGCTCTCCATCATGTGTTGGTGCAACATAAGGCCCGAGTGATGGCAATAAAAAGAAAGCGATCAGTGGCTTGCTGCAGTTGGTCCCTTGCTCAACTCCCATGAGATATATATTGAAAAAAAAATAGTAGAGGGCCCATCTGGCTCCTCACCAGCTTTGTCAAGTCTTGCATACGCTAAAATGCTAATGACCCAGATAGCTCATGCAAAATGCAGCAGAGGTAAGAAAGAAGGGGGGAAACTGGGGGACTAAACCAGAGACACCGCCGCTTCTTGTGGGGGGTCGGGCGGGGTATATGTTAGAAGGTGGGGGCAGTTGAAAGCACCTGCATCAGGAGGAGGTAAACTAAATATTGGGGGAAAAGTGGAGGGGACCATTTGTCAAAGCCAACCTTGCACCATTCACAGAAAGGAAAATTCCCCGCAAATAGGATCTTAATTAGGCGATCCATTCAATGACGTCCATTCAGTATGAAAATCAAAGAACCTATTAATATAGCCTGGCATAATTTTATAAAGTCGCACCTCAATGCATTTACAGTCAGCTGTTATATGCGCTATAAGAAGGAAAACATAAACATGCTTTAGTAAAACAGACGCAGTTGGTTGACATTAACAATTTGTACAAATAATGCACAATGATTTCTTTAAAACTTACACAAATACACCTTGCGAAGCAGGATATAAATAATAGGTTTTTATCCCCCGAGATAACAATTGTCCATATATCCAGTTTGGGGAAATGTCCACAAGGCAGTCGGTGCAGAAGAGCGTTCTTCCAAAACCATCAAATGTTCCGCATCCTTTTGCGCACCTTGATGCTGTAGGATGCGACATAAATCATTTCCGCTTACAGTGTTGCATCACTCAAATTTCTTCAAGATAAACGAAAAAAAAAGAAAGCAGAAAAAGGCATGTTGGAAGCAAATAGCCAGAGCTGAAGGTTTCGGTGCTCGTAAGCAGAGTCGGTCATCATGTGAAATGGTGTGATGCAGAGCGCGATCTGACAGAGAGGAGGAGAGCAGCCCAGTTTATCACACACACTGAAGCTCTCCGTCCTGCTCCTCTGTTCCCTTCCCTTCAGAGAGGATTATACTCTGGTGGAAAGAGGTGGCATCTGTCGGGTTACTAAACATTTGACGTTTGGAAAATAGTTTCTCCACTTTTCACGATGCGCATGTTTGTTTTATTTCATCGTCGTGATTTCTAAACAAAGCACTTTTTTCTTTCGATTCATTTCTTTATGCACAAGTCATTGTGCAATTCGTGCGCACGACTCACAACTCAAACTAGTTTATAATCTGAACAACAACAAAAATACGTTTTTGTTTCAAATTGTACATTTTTACATTCTAACCCCAACACAAAAAATGTAACGCTCTTATGGAATGCGTATTGGCGCATAAACCGCGAGCACCTCAAAGAAATAAGGTGCGTCATGATTCCATGGATTGTTAATATTTCGACGTAAACGTTTTCACGTGAAATAAATATTTTGTTAACACCGCAACAAACCCTTAGAAAGTATTAGTTCATCAAATTGTGTCCAAAAAAGAAGGCCGACTCCATATGGCCTGTCATCTGCGCGTTGAGTCCCATCCCCCACGCACGCTCATCCCTCATGCCGCATTGATTTATTGTCGAACACTGATTTATCTTTATCCTTTGCTCATTTTACTGGTACACGAAAACGTTTCCACCGACTCCAAATCACTGATAGTTCTCATTCGGTTAGGGGTGTAAACCCACAACAGCCTATCAGGCTTATTTTAAAAATACGCAGGCCTCACCTTTAAAATCTTCAGCGAGTTTAAAGGGAATTTGATCATTTTATGCGCCTCGCGAGGTTCGTCTCGCGCAATCCGAATGGTCTTTGTAGTTAATTAACATCAACTACCTTAAAATGTTGTGAATACGTTTGTATATAGCCTACACGATAAACTTTAAAATAATTACAATACGTAGCCTACTAAACCTAGAGTAAAGCGCTCGAACGACGTACTGTTGCTATCTATCTTCTGTGAATTATCCATACACTTTGTGTTGTGTGGGTTAGTACCCGTCCATGTACTTGCTTTGAGGTCAGCAGAGGTCTCCTGATCCTCTCTTGTGTTGCAGTTTAGAGGACTGTCGTCTGCCGCACGCGTGTCTCGAACAAACACATTCGACACGCGGTGAACTCCAGATGGCAAAGCTTTTCAATCCACCCTTATGCTGACGACACATGGATAAAGACACTGTCTCTGAGTGCTGGCAGACAGCCAACACCTTCAAGGGCCCGGGAATATCATGTCCCATTAAACAAAGAAGTGGCTACTCAAGTGTTTTGTTTTCTGTCTATTATTTATTGCAGATATCCCTTATAAACTCTTATGAATGTGCTTGGCTACAGTTCGTAGGCTATTATTATAAAGTTAAACACCTTTCTATCAATCCATATCCTAAATTCACATAAAGTGTAAAGTGATTGGATTTATGAACTGACGTAATTTTCCTAAACTAATTTAATACACCTACTATTCTGGACATGCGCCTACAAGAAATTTAAGCGCAAAATTAGAAGAAAATGTTACACCGAATTTAAAATCATAAACTTAGCCTACCTACTACTGATACAAGCACATAAACTTGAGCATTTTGAATATGAAATACAATATAGGCTATGGGTTCGTAAAGCACGTTGTGAAGTTACCATGCCCTGTGGTGACATAATTGAATCTATAGCATTATATAAACTCAAATTAAGAGTAGCCTACTAGTATTAAAAAATAATCGTCACAACACGCAGCCATCAAAAATATAAATAAAACGATGAAAGTGCCAACACAAATGAGTAGCGTACCACTTTTTATTAAGAATATATTCCAAGCTCCTATAAACTTTTTGGAATCACTGAGGAAGAAATGTCCTCCAACACAGCACTATAATGACTACGCAGCACAGGGTTAAAGGTAACTATACAATATATATAACCAAACAGTTAAGTAACGAGCATGCGCTTGTGCAATCGTTACACAAGTGCATCACGTGCTGCGTGTTTGTGCTCATGGTGGTCGCGCGGACTTCCGTGCGTTTGGTTTGGCGTCATTTTGTCCAAAACAGAATGGGAGATATGTCCTCCAAAATGCGAATGCCGTCTTCGGAGGAAGCGCTACCTGGAAGGGAGCAGAGCATGAAATTGTCAGGTATGGCATTGTGAATTTGTCTTTCTCAGTTCACGTGCTAATCAGCTGTCAAAATAAGGCAGTGCCTTAACGTTTTAAGACGCGATGAGATGGATACAATGTTATAGGTTACGGAATTGCAACCGAAGCTTACTTGTGCAAAAGAAAGCTATGACCATCTTCTCCGGTCGAGGAAACGGGGGGCTTTGTTTTGTTTTTCCTGGAACTGTGGGACGCGCATGCGCAGTGCTACAGTAAGGTCAAATCGTCATTTTGTTTATTATAGACATTCAGATAGCGAATGTTTGCAGACGTTATTTACACGTATTTGCCTACTCAATAATCAACTCATAGATGTTTTGTTATGACACCTTATAGTAGAACCATTACATCTTATTCAACCCTGTTCTCTTTCATTTTCATCCATTTTTCACCTTAAAGTACCATTTAGGTGAAGGAAAATGTTTTCAAAGTAAGTCTTTTTTTAACTGAGTAATATCTCCAACAGTCTTTGCATTAAATATTCAATATCTTTCTCCTCAGAGGCAGGAGTACAGGGTAGTAAAGGGCAATAAAAGGCACACTTGCAGTGGAACAGAACAGCTGACTCAGGCTCTTACATAAAAATGGAAATGCTGCTTCAAGTAGGGTGAAGAGCTCTGATGGGAACAGGAGGCCTGCTACGAATCCTAAATCACACCGCTTGACATCATTTAAATGTCAAGATTTTTTCCCCCCAAATTCTTACAACCTCATGTTATTCCAAACATTTGAATGTCATAATTAACAGTATAGAAAAAAGTATGATGAGTATATGAATTGTAATTTTTTGGGTGAATTTAAAAGAAAACCATTTGTAAAAACATTTTGTCCATTGACACTTTTATCCAAAGTGGGTGCGATTTTTACAGGGGCAGTCGTCCTGGAGTTAAAAGAATATTTTATTAAAAAATTTATTTATTTATTTTTTTCATTATTTTCACACTCTCGTCTTGTTCCAAACCTGTGTATTATTTTTTTCCTTGGAGAAATTGCATGAGTAATGCATGGGCTATTTCTTTTTCATATGGAAAGAAAGGAGCATGTACATTGTTTTACAATTATCCTTTTGTGTTCCACTGAAAAATAACAGCATATGTGCAGGCATAATAATGACAGAATTTTCATTTTTTGAGAAACTATCCCTTTTAGAGAGAATCACTTGTCTTGCTCAAGGGCACAATAGTGATAACAAAAGGCTTTTTTCTTTCGGAGGTCGAACTAGCAATTTTCTGCCTTTTCAGCCTTCAGCTATAGCCATATACCTTGTCCTATCCTCCCAGCAGCAGGTCCGAGTGGACATTTCCCTTTGTGTTTGAGATATTGCCTTTGCATTCATTTTACAATGAACAGCTGTTGACTTAAGTTGTAAAGGAAACTTTAGATTATGATGATTGGATATTGTTGTAACTCGGCCTAGAAGTTAATAAGTATAAAAATAAAGTGTTTGCAACGCCTCACTCTCAGGAGCATCCGCAGGCTGCTTGACATGCGACTCACATTGGCGTTCAGTGCAATGGCATGAAGCGAGCCCATGCAGGGATCCAGCCCTTCAGACTGCAGTGAACTGATTTATCAGCGCTCACCTCTCAAGGCTTCCCCTTGGCAACGGGACTCCACCACGGAGCTGGAAGGTTGCCAGGTAACACTGCAACACTGACACACGCGTGTCTTGCTTTGAAGATGTAATGAACCTGGTTGAAGGTTATGGACCACAGAACAGATGGAAGAATGAGATCAGAGCTTAGGGCAGTGCGATGTCTCTTTGAACACGAGCAGCTCTTACAAAAAACTTTGTGGGCGCTTAGCTCACGTGCTGAGGGAACTGGTTCAGTTCTTTCAAGTTCTGGAGTTGGTGTGGTCTTTTGGAGTGGGATTGTACTTCTTTTTTATTAATATGCAAAAAATATGCCCCACTAGTTGAAATTGCTTGAATAATTAAGAATATTTTTCAGTATTTTGAAAGAAGTCTCTTATGCTCACCAAGGCAACAAAAAAGTTAAAACAGTAATAATGTGAAAAAATTATTACAATTTAAAATAACTGTTTTCTATTTGAATACATTATAAAATGTAATTTATTCCTGTGAGGGCAAAGCTGAATTTTTAGTAGTCATTTTAACTATGATTCATTTCCGAAGAATCTTGTGACACTGAAGACTGGAGTAATGATGCTGAAAATTAAGCTTCACCATCAGGGCCGTGCAGAGACCTTTAGAGGGGCAGGTGCTCAAAGTATAAAAGGGGCACATGGAACAAGGCTTTAAATAGGGCTGTACTCAAAATGTCAATACAGAAATATACTGTGAAGTAGGGCTGTACGATTATGACAAAATCATAATTGTCGATTATTCCCTGAAATTGTAATTGCGATTATTAATTACGATTATCACAATTTACATT